CAGCGTCGTCGTTATCGCCCCCATCATCAACGTCGTCGTCATCGCGGTCCTCCTCCTCATCATCATCATTATCATCACCATCGCCATCACCATCACCATCATCACCATCACCATCATCGTCATCATCATCGCCATCTAATGCCGACTCTTAGACACTTAAAAACAGCAGTAGCGATAAAAATACCCCGTAATTATAAAAATATATTTTGAATATCTATTGGGGGGGGCCCCCCCCCTTTTAATATTAGGGGGAAGGGATTAATTAGAATAGGGTTTTGGGGTTTCTGAAAAGGTTGCCTTAAAGGGTTCTTTCAGGGCTACTATAAGGTTTTAGGATTTAAGGGCCTCAATAATTAGAATAGGGTTCGTGGGTTCCTTTAAAGGGTTCTATAAGGGCTACAAAAAGGTTTCGCGGGCCTTAACAATTAGAATAGGGTTTGGGGGGCCATTGGACTGTAATTATTCTTAAGGAACCCCCAAAATGGTATTCTGATTCTGATTCTGATGCGGTCCGTAGTGCTCATGCGAGCGCGACCCAAAATTTGCAATCTGTACAGTGAAACCGGGAGATCAACAGTCGACATGCTGTGACGGCCTGGCCATCCAGAAATCTGACGTGCCGGAGCGGGGGCCCTCAACAGAGGCCCCTGCCACATGCGCCGCGATCCACTGGACATCCTCCTCCTTAGGCCGGAACACCTTAGCAATACGACCAAGATCTATCTCGTCCTCCTCGAGTCCCTCAAGGACTTCATCGGCGGTCGGGATCCTGGGTCCATAGCTCTGCTGTGCAGGCTCAGCGGCTATGACATTGGCCCACTGTCCTTTGAACACTTTCTTTTTGCGCGCTACCTCCTCTGCCTCTGCCATCCTAACGCCAACCAGATCCAGAGGAGGATGGACTTGGACAATTCGTAGGAGGCAACGAGAGGAAAGGCGAAGGTGGTTCTGTACTCTCGGCACTGTGTGAAAGTGTTTGAGACAGGCAAGACAAGTGGCCGTGGGTGCAAAATGACGCACAGGACTGAGTATGCCGTGTGTCCTTGCTTCGTGCACTCCTAAGTGTTTGCGCAACACGAAGGAAGCTCCGCAGAGACGGCAAGAAAAAGGGCAGGCTTTTGGTGGAGATGGCTGAGGCGAGGGCTCAGTCGGCCTACGCTTCGACGCTTGACTCCAACGCTCAAGATCACGATCATACTCCTTAATGGCCGCTTTGACCTGACGGGGCCACCACGTAGGCTCAGACTGCAGGGATTCCAACACAGCGGACACGGGGCAAGCCAACGCCAAAACAGCCTGCGCTGTTGGAACAAAGACTGCCACTGCACGAATGTCAGTATCAAACTGCTGTAACCAGGAGCTGTGTGGGGCCACCCGCCAATGTGCGTGGAGAAGATGCAGGAGGATGGCCGGTCCTGTGGAAAGTACGCGCAGGAAGAAGGTGGCACGAGCGTACGCAAGGGCCAACAAGGGGGACGGCGCAGCAGCGACCCGCAAAACCTCAAGGCTGTGAGCCTGATGTTCTTTGCTATCACGGGCACACAGCCCACCCCAGATGCGCACATACAGCTTGGCCCAGTTGCGCCGGTGTATGGCCGCTCCAAGCGTAAGGATCGAGCTCGCAAAGACGAACTTCGAGACGACCAGAGATCTGAGTAGTGTCTTACGCAACAGCAGCGGCACCGCATCTGATGCGAAGAGCCGGCGCTTCAAGGGCTTGAGTAGGCTCTGTGCCTGGGCATGTCGATACCGGACTTCGGCGTCTGGGGTAGCATTAGCTACGGCTATGGTGCCCAGGTGCTTATAAGCCGCGACTATGGGAACCCAAACCGTCTCCCCAATGCAGGAATTGTGGACCACAAAGCCCGGCTTGTCATTCTCATCACGAGCAGTGAGACCAGCAAGGTCTCGCGGGCAGTCCGCGGACAGTAAGACGGCGGTCTTGTCCTCCCCGTATGCGAGCACCATACCGGCAGAGGTGGCCTGACTGACCACGATCTCCAAGGCGCGTACGACCGTGCCTCCCAACTGATGCACTGTGGGAGCAGACTGCATGAAGACGAAATCATCAGCCCACGCCGGAAGCCCAGCCGTTGCAGGGGGCTCCCATGTGTGCCATGGAGGATTGTCGGCGACTGCAGGGACATAGGTGTGGACACCGGCGGCAAGGAGTCCTTCTTCCACCGCTCGACAGTACGCTGCGAAAGAGTACGCAAACAGTAGGTCGGCAAGGGGGTCTCCCGGCCTAGACCCCCTGCCAGTCAGGATCACCGTCGGGTCACCAACTAAGCGAAACCAAGACCCCCTGAAGAGATCCGCCACCTGTGCGGTGAGGTGGGGCGAGTTACCGGCTTCAGCAATGACAGCCATATTAGCCAAATGCTGAGCTAGTTCTGGAAGGGCTTCGCCGGGGACACCGAGGTCATGGAGAAGGGCCAGGAACCTGCTATCTGAAGGCCCATCTGGGGTAGGCACAAGAGATTGCCTGATGACACGGTAGAAGGCTGTTCGCAAATCGAAGAAGGCCAAAGCAGACGCCCGGCGCGTCGATTTGGCCCAGAGCTGATAGGTTCTGACTGTCAGTCCTATGGCCTCCACGCCCATGCCTGGAAGCTGTCCTTCTTGGGCTTCCCTACAAAATCCACGAAATCCATCAAGCAGTTTCCCGCGCAGGAGTCTGTGGTGAAGCTTAGCCGGGATGCTTTCTAGAAGGATGGATCGAAAGGCTGGGCACTTCAGGGCCGCACCTGCTTTTTTGGCGAGCGCCATAAGCTGTCCTCCTCGCCACTCCACAGGCTCGCGGACGCCTAATGCTGCCTTCAGACAAATAGGTAGCAAAGTACGCGCTGTCACGGCTGCCTGCACTCTCATGCCCTCCGCTGTAATGCCGTCCGGGCCTGCAGCCTTTTCCGGCTTCAACCTGAGCACCTGCTGTTCTAGGTCGCGAAGGTCCGGAAGTGCTGCGACGTCGAAAACAGGCCCGTCCATTAGGACCGGAATCGCGGGGGATTGGAAGGCTGCATCGTATCCCTCTGCGTCAACAGGCACGCCCCCCCTCCTGTTCTCCGAAGAAGGAAGCCCATCTCTCCATCCTCGTTGCACGATCGGCAGCGAGTGTGCCATCCGCCAGTTCAACCGCTGGCAGAGGCTGGAAACTGCGCCTTCTTGCGGACTTGGCATCCGGAAACGCGCGCCTGACCGCTGCGAAAAGGGCTTTAGGGTTACGAAGGTCTTGAAGGGAGACTTCACGTTGTACCCCTTCCAAGTACTGAACCCTATCCCTTTTAACCCCTGCCCTGACCGCAGTGGTATGTTCATCATACAGCTGCATAGCATGTGCCAGGCTGTAATCGATATCTCGCAACCAGGCGGACGCAACGTGGACGGCTTGTGCTGTGAGTGCCACACCCCGCGGCACGCCGCAACGAAGGACGCAAAACCAATCATCAGAACTCGGCGATTGCGTTCCCAGGTCTCATGGCGTATGTAGCTGCGCAGGGCTGCGCGCCTCCCGACAACAACAAGAGTGGCAGGAGTGATGTAACATTGCGTAGGGCTGTGCTCGGCGGGGCTAGTTACGTCCTGCGCAGCTGCCTGAATCGCACCTGCCCACGTACGGTAGTGCTCATCAACGGGCAGGTGCCAAGGAACATTGCAAACCGCCCGCATCTTGTGACCAAAAGGTCTGCTGCTGCTGAGCACTGGGCCGTCGATCTGGTCGAGCGACTCTACGAGTACTGTCTGTGTACGAACCGGCCGGCTGACACCACACGAAGGCAGTGTGTAGGCAGACGGGAAGGTGGTCTTGTCGCGCCTGCAGCGCTTCAAGATCCGTCCAAACATAAGTGCTCATGTCAAAGTGTCGCCAGGCAAGGGGGAGGCC